ACTTAATTGTTATCGTGTGAGTTATACCTTATACATATAATAGCCAATTATAGTGACGGTGTTAAAAAATGTGCAAATTCTACTTGTCAACTTTCTGATCAGAATTGTTACTATACCTCATTATTAATAAATAAAAACATTTTATATGTAAATTACGCGGTATGCGGTACGATATTTTCTACGCAAACTATTTCATCACGCGTGCATTTATACCCAGACGTGAATAATAAGTACTTTCCATAATCGACAAGTGCATCCCTAGGTACGTGAACCGTATGCGAACTGAAATATTTACGCTTATAGCTCAAAACAATCAAGTTGGTATTATTTCAGTACAGCAGTGAAGAGTACATATACTGATGTACATTTTTCTTATTTTAATAAAACATATTATTATTTTTGTCTTGTTTTGATGTTGTAGTCGTCAGTATCCCATCATACCCTTTGACTATTTGCTCTTTACACTTTTTTTTTAATCTCAATACCTTGTGCTATATTTTTTATGTAGTTAACTCATCTTGTATGCATATACATTTTTATTTATCTACTTCTCTCTTCTTTAAATAACCCTTGTATTAATTATTTGTATTAGTATCAAGAAGACGAATTTTACTAGTATGAACCTTTCTGTAAGTGAGAATAAAAATAGTTTGTATCATACATTGTGTTAATACACATACGCCTCCATACGGAAAACCTAACCCAGTATATAAACGACATCTTTTATTTCATATGTTTTGTTATGATTTCAATTCGTCTCCACTTTGATATTCTTTCATTATTAATATTGAACTGAAGTTGTAGGCCTGCCGCTGACGAATACCAGATAACTGGTCGGAAATATTACTTATAATGATTTTGTGTTTTATTTATACGTCTTAATTGTTATAATTTGATAGACAAGACATTTCTTTTTTTATTTAAATTAAAATGTTTCTTTAATATAAAAGATTATAGTCTCACTCATTAAAAAAAAATCTACATTCATTCCATAGTTTGTTTTATGTACACAGTGTATATTATATTCATTTTACGAAGCTACACCAAACACTCAAATTTTGATCATACTGTATAATTAATATCATCTCTTATAAATACGCAAAATCAATTAAAAATTTGCATGTATTTATATTGCGTTGGCATGGATTCTTGAATATCAACGAGTCACATATCTGTTCAAGTCACAGTGCGCACGCGCATTTTATTGCGAGTTAGCCTGAGTTTTTACGAGCACTGGTACCCGTGACTAATATAAAAATAGACACACATCTCAATACATAATAGTTCCATTTTAATTACAAAAATGAATTATATTATAATGATACGGTACATATGATTGAACGATTGAGTCAACCATGATATACGTAGTGTTTATTTAATTTATTGATATGAATGCAAATGCACACGAGAAACAAATAATAGTCACGAATACCGCTAGGCAAATATACTTAGGACGATGTTACGTCGATCTTAGAGTTAGCATTTTAAGACTGGATGATGGATGCAATGCACACTGTTACATAGTGCTGAAGGAAAAAAGGATGCTGCGTACATTAGGACTTATGATAGGCCTGCTTACTTTAGGTAAGATATTATAATTCTATATAGTTGTTGTTTTGTTATTATTGTCGTAGTCATTATCATAATAATAATCATCAACATTATTATTATTATTAGTTATTATTATTATTATTATTATTATTATTATTATTATTATTATTATTATTATTATTATTTATCAATTATAAATTATTTTTCAAAGGAGCTGAGGGGGTTAATTGCCAAGAATTATTATTATTACAACAATCATCAACAATATTATTATTATTTTTATTAGGCCTATTATTATTACAACAGTCATCAACAATATTATTATTATTTTTATTAGGCCTATTATTATTACAACAGTCATCAACAACAATCAATATTATTATTATTATTATTTATCAATTATAAATTATATTTCAAAGGAGCAGAGAGGGTTAATTGCCAAGAAAAACCTTGTGCAAAAAGCGGAGAAAATGGAGACATCGAAGCTGATGACAATACATATTATTGCATGGCTACAGTTAATAACCAACCTAGCCCTTACACACGATGCTGCTGGACAGACCGACCTGTAAACAGTGCAGGCGTCTATGACCCGAATGGTAAAACATATTCATGTTGTAAGGAAAAGGACGAGGCTAAAAAAGAAATGTAGGTACCATAAAATAATGCGTCCTCAGATCAGTACAGCACTACTCTATATAGGCAACGCTCCAAACGGAAATCTTTTTGCTAAGCGCCGTTTTAAAATAAGAGCCGTTTGGCGGCGAGAAAATAATTCTGGATTTGAACCCGGACATTAGAGGCATATAAGCAGCAGTCTATTTGCCATTTCTATTCATGTTACGTGTATTATACAGTGCGTGGTCTGTCATTTGAGCATAATTAGGCCTAATATATATTGCCCTTAATGTGTGTGAGTGTAAAAACGTATTATTATTATTATTATTATTATTATTATTATTATTATTATTATTATTATTTATCAATTATAAATTATATTTCAAAGGAGCAGAGAGGGTTAATTGCCAAGAAAAACCTTGTGCAAAAAGCGGAGAAAATGGAGACATCGAAGCTGATGACAATACATATTATTGCATGGCTACAGTTAATAACCAACCTAGCCCTTACACACGATGCTGCTGGACAGACCGACCTGTAAACAGTGCAGGCGTCTATGACCCGAATGGTAAAACATATTCATGTTGTAAGGAAAAGGACGAGGCTAAAAAAGAAATGTAGGTACCATAAAATAATGCGTCCTCAGATCAGTACAGCACTACTCTATATAGGCAACGCTCCAAACGGAAATCTTTTTGCTAAGCGCCGTTTTAAAATAAGAGCCGTTTGGCGGCGAGAAAATAATTCTGGATTTGAACCCGGACATTAGAGGCATATTAAGCAGCAGTCTATTTGCCATTCCTATTCATGTTACGTGTATTATATAGCGCGTGGTCTGTCATTTGAGCATAATTAGGCCTAATATATATTGCCCTTAATGTGTGTGAGTGTAAAAACGCATTTTATCTTATATGAATTAACGTATCTATTCGAATAAAAGCCCCAGGGCCTTTATTGTTCAGAAGGGTTTTTGATATATATAATGTATACTGAAATAAACGCCCATTAATTTCACTGTAAAAATGTGGAACTACGACTCATTTGAGGTGAAAATAAATGCCCGGGTTGGCGTTTATTCCAAATGAGGCTCGGGGGGGGGGGGGGGGGGGGGGTTTTCCGGGGGGGGGGGGAGTTTATTTAAAGCATGGCGTTTATTTTAATATATACGGTATATTGTGTTGTGCTAATAAGGTGTTTTCCATGGCATGTTATTGAAATTATGTTTAGGCGTTAATAACGCGTTTTGCCTGACACTTAAATTGTCTTGATGTGTAAGTAACGTGCTTTACCTGACATATCTAAATTGTATTGTTCGAAATGACGCATTAGAGTCTGACATGTAATAAACGTCATGAATTTTACTCTTCACTCGTTATCATTGTTTCTTATGTCCTTTTATTATTTTTTAATGTATATTTAGGTATGTTTACTCAGTAAAAAAAATCACATAGAAAAAGAGTCCATTGCAGCATATGCTGAATTTTGTAACTAAATTATTAAAAATGTAGTGCAGTATTAAAAATTACAGAGGTAATAGTTAACAGATTTAGCAACTGAGTGTATTTTTTTATATATATTAAAAATTACATAAATTATATCTAAAAACACTAAAAGAAAAAGAAAACAACGCAATAAAATCGAGAAAAAAAAAACAGAAAAAATGTATGTATTTGATTATAATTTTTTTTTCAAGGTGGAAAGACTTCATATACATATGTGTTTATGTGATTATTGGTACGGCATGCTTAATGAGTATCGTCTATGTTACTACATACTGCAAGGTTGATACATTTCCCTTTTTGAAACCAGTTCGAAAGAAATTCGCATTTTGGAAGAATATTATGCTTGACTCGATCTGTTTTTGTCCCTGTTTGCCAAAGTAAGTGAACAAAAATGGTTAATGCGCAGGGTAACCGTATATGATTAGAAGTAGCTTATATAAAAATAATAACTTAATTCCAACCACACCCCAATTATTTACGATAGTAAAATACATACTCCAAGTATCGAAATGCACGCCATCGTGTCGGGATTGGATGAATCCAGACACGATAGCGTGTATTTCGATGAATCCCGACACGATGGCGTGCATTTCGATACTTAGTGTATCTATATTATACTATCTTACCTGAGATTAATCAGTGGACCTTTCGGCCAATTATTTACAATCTATATAAAATAAGTATTTGTTTTTCATGTCGTGATGTAACTATATTTGTCCCTTAATCTAGGAAATTTCGACGAAAAATTCATAAAAAAAATAAACTCAGCACACCACCAGTGATTAAAGTGGCACAAGATGAAACGCAGCCGAACACCACACCTGTTGAGGAAATCGGGGACGGATATGCTGCTGTAGATATTTGGTAGTGGTCCGTCGATTAATGAAACTTTGGACTGAGTTAAGCTGTTAAAAATTCATGTGCATGTCGATGAATGGATGTGAATACTGGATAACGGAAAATAAAAGGCTACTGTGGATTGAAAACACACTTTCTTTAAAATGTTTTTGATTGGTTTTATCATCGGTACGGACTGGTTTCCATAAAATTGCTACACGCTATCGCCGACAGATTTATGCGACGCTGATTGGTCAGTCGAAACGGTGACGCAGTGCATCGATTGAAACACTTCACAGTAGCGATAGCGTAGCGATATTATGGAAATTACGCTTTAGTGTAATACCAAATACATTTGCATATCTTGAAAATTTATCTTCTCGTTCTTATACATGAATAAAAAATCAAAATGCAAACAAATGAAAAACAACAATACACAGAAAATCCATGACAGTTTGGTTAGCTACAAAATCGATAATTTGAATACAAAATAAACAATCAAAATAAAAAGAAAACCAATGCTTTTCAGCTACTTTCCTTCATAATCTGTAATTAATATAAATATAGTAACACAACATCGCTGGAAGAACTTTTAAAACGAATATAGGCCTATATAAAGATGATTTGAATCTAAACAAATTCAGGTTATGTTAGGATGCGGTCTTTACCTTTTCTGTAAGATTGACAAACGTTTATTTACGTTGTATTAGTACTTAGATGTTTCGATGTTTCTGCCATTCTTATAGCCTTCATCAGTCCTTAAGATACGTTTTACAATATGTTTTTTATGTACATTCACGTGCCTTCAATCATGTTTTATAAATATGAAATAGCTAAACATATCAATTAATTTGATTATGGCATTCTTATAATCGTGTATGAGTTCCAAGTAATTAATTTTATATCAATCTCATATACTTGTATCATAGGTGTACGTATGCATTGCATATATAGAAAGCTTGGAAGTGTTTTGGATGAGAGCATGGTGAGACCAGTTTAATCACATTACAAAACCCATGAGAATACAGTCCAATCGTCAAATTATAAAGAAGGCGGGAATTTTATTAGCAGCAAGCGAACGCTTTTGAAATTGTGGTTAGGTAATGCCAGAAAAAATAACGCTGAAACAATGTTTCAACAACGTTTAAAACGTTATTCAGAAATTACGTTAAAAATACGAAGGCCTATTTACACAAATACTAACGTTACTATTTACCAAACTATACAAAATAATATTGTGAAATCTAGGTGTACTATACCTTCGTCTATTAAGATGTGGGAAAAACATTATACAATAAAACATTGAATGGGATAATGTCTGGATACAATAAGTAAAAGAAATATAAGATTATAGGTTAGCTCAATTTAACTTCAAATTGCTACATGGTATACCACATACTACCTACAACACAGATGTTATGTAAGTGGAAAATAAAGGATAGTCCTACTGCAATTTTTATGTAAGTTGTCGAAAATGACAAACATGTGTTTAATGATTGTAAGGGATTAAGCCTTTTCTGTGAACTAGATTACATCTTGTATTAACCATAATGAAGTTTTCAAGTTTTATTTTAATTATATAGGTAAAAGAACAATTAGAAGAAATTGACACAATTGCAGCCTTTTCTATTTATAAGACTGTCTTGGTGTAGCAAACACGGATGTTGTAAGGGTTAGAGACATATTTCCTATATTTATCAATGATCTTGCATAAAAAAAATTAAGTTCCAAAAAGTAATAAATACAGACAGAGCACTAAATAAATGTAAACATGTTATAACATGTATTGAAGCGTTATGGTACACAATATAAATATAGGCACATGAGGCCTATATTTGTAAATAAAATTATAGAAAACGGGTGAAAGATAGATATTTGTTAATATTTATGACTTTATTTGTAATGACATATCTTATGTCTTTATTCATGAACGATAAATGTATTGAAAAATGGAACATTGATTGTTATTTTATTCAATGATAATCGTAAATACTATGATTTGAATATCATGAATTTTTCGACGAATAAATGTCTTTTCTGTTGCAAAGAGAAAAAAAACTACACAAAATAACATTTATAACGTTGGTATAACGTAAAATTGTTAGCTAGGAGACGAATATTTGTGTGGCGCAGCGTGTAAGATGTTGGATTTCTGATCGTGAGACCGTGAGTTAGAGACGGACGCTCTTTGCATTGCTTGTGTCCTTGGGCAAGGCACTTTACTTACGCTTGCCTCTCTCCACCCAAGAGTATAATGGGTACCTGGTAGTCGTATGGCATTGAATATATGGGTTGTGCGCGTACAAGCAGCAATGACCTGGGATACGGTACTACCCAGCGAGCAGAGAAAGTTGCACAATGTGCGGATCTACCAACTCAGTATCCAGTGACCAGGGGAATATGTTACCAGCACCTTGTATAATCGCCCTGTATTATCTGCGGATTGTGATAAGATCTTTATAAATTTAGGTTAAAAAAAGTAACTTGGTGGTTAAGATGTTTGTCTTCCAATCCCAGGGTACTGGGTGCAAATCATGTAACAGCACGGATTTTTCACGACTAAAAATCTTCACTCCCTAAGCTTTGCTGATACAGCATCACATTATTTCATATTTAAAGACCTCCCTGAATATCAACCGACCTGCTACATAACACTAAAAGGACCACCCTCTATAAATATAAAAAATTGTAAAATATAAGTAAGATCAAAACTCTTTAAAGCTTACATCTAGCGAGAGGGAGACAAAGCAACAGTTTAGAGGAACACCGGGCCCAAAGCGTGGGGCTTATCTGCAGAGATCACTGTTTATTGCACGTTAGGCACAGATTGAAGAACGGAGTGTGATGAAATAGTGTAGTGAAGATAGTGTAGTTTCTTGAATTCGTGTTTAGAGATATCTATACATTCTAGATACATACTTCTCCAGATTTGAGGAGAATTACATTTCTGAGTAGTATGATGAAAGTCGACTAAAGACACTTAATCGACAGTTAATAATTTTTTCTGTATTCCAACAACAATTGTACCCCATCTGTTTTTTGACAGCGACCCATAGATATACAGTCTGAATATCTAGTTTTTTATTTTGCATATTATACATGTTGAAATGGAAACGAAAATAATATAAATTACTATGTAACAACATAATAGCATCGACAAAAGCTCGCATCTTTTGTACTTGGTTTAACGATTAAACAATCCCACAAAAATATAATATAACTGAAACAGTGCGTAGCCACATTTTCTTCTACAGCGGCGGACACTGACCTTTGAAAAGTAGGACGTACGTCTGATTACCGAGAGTTATTTAGGCAGTACATCAAGTCATTATATGCAATTGATGTAGACCTACATTATGATTACATTACATTCATGCAAAACCATAAAAATAATGTGGATGCAACATTTGTTAAAACATGTCGATGAGGGGGCTATTTAATTATTGTGGAGACACAACCAAATGTTTACTTATAATCGTGGTATTACCATCTTTAAATTTTTTTCGCATCCAATGAAAAGTCGTTATGAAGGAACTATGCGATGATTTATAAACTGAGTTATATCATTGGACTTGGGAAGTGAGGTTGTATTTAGCCCTGAGGGGAATATAACCAAACTCATCTCTAATTCTTATGTACAATGATTGTTATTCTTTTTATCGATTCTCTTCCAATAACTTTTTTGTGTATGAACGTTTTCCATTTTTACCCTCTCATGTTTTATGCTACCCGTGTACAATATCATGTCTATAGTGTTATTATGTTCTGAAGATATTCTTTGCTACTCCAGCTAATACTTCATAAACCTGTCTCTTATACACATCTAGATGTGTATAAG